TAATGGGTCAACACTATTCCGAATGGGGTCCGGTGTCGAGCTGTCGCCTCCGAGGCATTCCTCAGGTAGGGGATTCCGAGCAGAAACGACAGTTTCTGGACGTTTGATCGCTTCTGGTTGGGTTTTTGTCGGTATTCAGCGGAAAAAGGGCGTTTTTTGGTTTGAAAAATGTGTTTACATTTTTTGAATTAGTTTGATTTTGACCAACGTCAAATTTGCATTCAACATGTCCAATCAGCAAAGCATACGAGTTAATTTCAGGAAGAATTATATAAACCTTCAAGGTATAGGATTCGCCCTGGGCGTTCGCCCAGTGGAAAGTTAGAAGTTGGCACGATAGAAAAAAAAACACCTTTCACCCCTCCCTGAACTGAACCACACGCAAACATGCTCGCTACGTTCTGCCGTTTGGTGAGACTTGCGTACTTCGGTTTGGACCTGAAACAAGAGATGAGTACCTGGTAAGGGTCCCGTACCAGTAATTTCTAGCTCTATTGTTGCCTTCCTTACCCACTTCTGACTAGTCCAGATCACAATACCTTCTCAATTATGTCCGAGGAACCTGGTTCGGTCCGACTATTTGCCATGGCATCATGCATGCCTTGCTGTTCTTAGAAAAATGCGACCAGAGAGCAAATAAGTGCAAGTTTTTTAGCAAAGAGTTTAAAATCAATTTTTCGTTACGTTTTAATCAGATTAAAAAATTTCCCATATGATGTGACCAAAGGGATCCATTTGGGTTGATCTCTTATTTTATTACATTGGCGAGGAGGTTATAAATACTTTGCTAGGAAAGAGCGGTCGCAAAACTAAGAGACTTGTGCACTGTTTGGGTCTTTCCTGTCTCTACTAGTCCTCCAGTTGCAGACATTCCAAGTCGGTTTAGTCCATTTGGGTTCAGCATCTCGGTATTTGCAAAAATCAGAAGCACATTCCCTCCTTAGGCCCATAGGACAGGAGCCACACCCGATGATATATTTTTAACTCAAGGGATACACTGAGAACGTGTTTCCACAACCTGACGCTTAATACTCAGGAGCCAGTGTCGAACACAGGTTTTGCGATTTAATACCGCTTCATGACCTAATTGCGAAGAGTTAGGGTCATCGGCGGATTCTCGGAATTGCGCGAGCGAACACAGAAGCCATTGAATGTATATATATACAGTTCTGCGAGTGCTGCAAAAAAAATTCCTAAATTTGTAAATGTTTGACTATTTCTCCAATACCAGCGGAAACGCATTTACGAAAACGTTTAAGTAATAATGAGCAGCATTAGGCATATTAAGTAATTAAAATAACTATAAGAAGTTCTAAGTGTTTGTTAAGAAAAATAAAATTTTCTCGATAATTC